TAAAGATGATTTAAAGAAATCAGATTTTAAATAACTTCATTATTAAAGTAAAAAGAGGGTGAGCATGCTTGGTGAATTACCCTGCATATATTTTTTATTACTGCACTATTATGACTAATTGATAATAAATGATAATTTACTTTTTTGTAGCTGTAAAATTATCATGCATCATAATTTGTAGAAGTCCACCTACTAAATTAATTTATGAAGTATTGGTCAATGTTCAAATACTTTTTCATACTTAAAAATTATTTCAGGTTACTATGAAAGATGGTCGTCGTTGTAGTACAAATACAGCTTTTTTGCTTCCAACAAAAATGAGATTAAACTTACACGTGAAAAAGTACAGCACTGTTACACGAATATTAACAGAAAAAATTACAAAAAAGGCAATTGGAGTAGAATATGTATCAAATCATAAAAAATATAGAGTGTTTGTAAGCAAAGAAGTTATTATTTCTGGTGGAACCATAAACTCGCCACAGTTACTTATGCTATCGGGGATTGGACCGAAAGAACACTTGAAAGATTTGAAAATTCCATTGATACAAAACTTACCAGTTGGTGAAAATTTGATGGATCACGTGGCACTGGGGAGTTTGAGCGTTTTGATCAACGATACTATTTCATTAAAGACACAAAGGGTATTGAGAGATCCACTGACTTTATACAATTTTCTAATGAATCATAACGGTCCATTAACAATACCAGGTGGTGCAGAAGCATTGGCATTTTTCGACTTGGACCATCAAGGGTTCACAGATGGACACCCAAATTTAGAACTACTGTTAGTATCTGGTCTATATTCGAGTGACGGATCAGCRCACAAGTTGTTTGGCTTAAAAACGGACATTTACAACAAAATATACAAGCCCACCGAAAACCTGGAAGGTTTTACGGTATTCCCGATGATTATGCGACCGAAAAGTAAAGGTCGTATATGGTTGGAAGATGCGAATCCCTTCCATCACCCGCTGATCGATCCCAATTACTTTGCTGACGAGACGGACTTGGATGTGGCCGTAGCCGGGGTGCGGATTTTCCAAAAAATGTTGAAAACCAACGCTATGAAGAAACTCAACGCCACGTTGTTCGACACCCCATTGCCGGGTTGCGTGCGACACAAATTCGACACAGACGCGTACTGGAAATGCTCAGCGAGACAAATAAGTTTTACCATCTATCACTTGTCGGGCACGTGCAAAATGGGACCGGTGGGTGACCCCACGGCCGTGGTGGATCCCAGATTGCGTGTGCACGGCGTGAGCGGATTGAGAGTCATCGACGCGTCGGTCATGCCGG